ATGAGAGTGCTGGGAACCAAACCCAGGGCCTCTGGAAGAGCAGGAAGTGCTCTTACTGCTGAGCAATCTTTTCAGCCCCTCCCCCCCTTTTTTTGAGACAGAATCTCATCATACAACTTGACTGTCCTGGAACTCACTATGTAGACCAGGCTGATCTCAAACTCACAGAGCTCTGCCACCTGCCTCTGCTGCCCAAGTTCTGGGATTATAGGTGTGTGTATGCCACCATATCTAGCAAGGACCTACGTTTCTTTTTCTTTTCTTTTTTAGTACATTTTATTTATTATTTTTATTTTATGTGTATGAGTATATTGCCTGCATGTATGTGAGTGCACCCATGTCATGCAATGCCACAGAGGTCAGAAGAGGGCTTCAGATTCCCCTGGAACTGGAGTTAAGGACGGACGGTTCGTAGCCGCCATGTGGGTGCTGGGAATCAAACCCAGATCCTCTGTAAGAGCAGTCAGTGCTCTTAATCGCTGAGCCATCTCTCCAGCCCTGGACCTAGGTTTCTTGGTACTTTGTTTTTTTGTCTTTTTGAGACAGGGTCTCCCTGTAGTCCTAGCTGACCTGAACTCACTATGTAGACCAGGCTGGCCTTGAACTCACAGCGATCTGCCTGCCTCTGCCTCCCAAGTGCTAGAACTAAAGGTATGTACCACCACACCCCAATCTAGGTTTCTTAATCACAATGTAACTGATGTAACAGCATAATTCGGTGTCTTAGGCAACAGCCCTGATTTCAGATTGCTTAGGTGGGAATCTTTTCCTGGCCCTTGTTATTTGGATAAATTTTAAACCTCAGTTGCCAGATAGCTTCCATAAATATCCATATACCTTTCACTTAGATTTACATCCTGTTGAAATTCAAAGAACTCTAACTCTGCTTCCTTAATACTCTGTTCTTTAAAAACTCAATACCACTTGCAAGACAGTTGGAGAGTCATGACTCTTTACCCCTAAGTACTATGACATTCATTGATGTTCAATAAGGAAATTCTCTTGTGTAATTGTTAATATTGTTTTCCCAAGGAAACACCATTGATATACTGTAATTTTTTTGTACTGGGCACCAAACCCAAGGCCTCTTGTGTGTCAGCCAACAAATGCTCTACCAGCTCTACATCTTGAGCCCCTCTCACTTTTTTTTTTGGAGACAGGGTTTAACCCTGTAGTCCAAACTGGCCTGGAATTCACACTGATGCTTCTGCTTTAGCCTCCAGGAGTGCTAGATTGCAGGCTTATGCCCAGGCCCAGCTGATATACTGGAATTTAACATAAAGCCCATATTCAAATCTCAGCAGTTGGCCCAATAACATCTTTTAAAGCTGCTACTTAAAAAATATATATTTATTTTTGTTTTACATGAATGTTTTGCCTGTACGCACATAGAGGCCAGAAGAGGGCATCAGATTCCCTGGAACAGCAGTTAGAGATGGTTGTGTTTCCATATGGGTGCTGGGAACTAAACCAGGTCCTTTGCCAAGAGCAGTAGTTGCTCTTAATCACTCAGCCATCTCTCCAGCCCCAAATTTAAGTAACCACTTAAAAATGCTGGGCAGGGAGGTACATGCCTTTAATCCCAGCACTTGGGAGGCAGAGGCAGAGGCAGAGGGATCTCCATGAGTTTTAGGCCATCCTGGTCTACATAATAAGTTCCAGGCCAGGTTCCAGGCCAGCTAGGGTGATACAGTGAGACCCTGTCTCAAACAAACAAACAAACAAACATATATATATAATGTATGTATGTTAGATTTGGGGTGGCAGAAAAAGGAAAGAGTTTAAAGTTTAGAAATAAGAATCAGAGCCAGACCTGCAACAGACAAGGAATGAGTTCCCTTCATTCAGGAAACCTAGCAAAGGGCTGATAAAAGCTGTTCTTGAAGAATGATTATCTGTGCACTGAAGAGGGAGCAGTTTGGTCTTACATAGGAACTCTGCTGCACACAGCTGCAGGAGTTAACTCCGTGCAAGGTCTGGTGTCCTTGAGGGTGTTTTCTGAAGATTATTTGCTTAGGCAGGTGTGCGAGTTATCTATAGCACTAAAGGAGACAGGTGGGCTCCACAGTCTCTCTCAGTCCAGGGAATGACTATTTGATAAGGCTTGAGCAAGGCCAGACTGCTGATTTAGGGCCAGTTAGCTATTCTAAGGAATTTATATCTTTTTACACTTATTTTTTTGTCTTTTTGAGACAGGGTCTCCCTGTAGCCCCAGCTGACCTGGAGCTCACAGAGATCTTCCTGCCTCTGCCTCCCAAGTGCTGGGATTAAAGGCATGCGCCACCACACCCTGTTAGGAATTTATATCTTTATGGCCTCCTCTAATGAAGCTTATGGCTCTCCTGAAATTCACATATTCTATCAATATATACTTTTAATTTTTAAATTTTGAGTGTGTGTGTGTGTGTGTGTGTGTGTGTGTGTTCAGAGGATAACTCTGGGAATCAGTTCTCTTTTTCCTCCATATTGTTTCCAGGGATGTTGAATGACAATTTCTTCTGTGATAAGACATTCCATCTTGTAGGGAAGCTGTTAAAACACAGGATGTTTTAAGGGAGGTACAACAGGATATCCTAAGGGGAGGTGAAACATTTCATCCTGCAAGGAAGCTCCTTAAGCTCAGAAAGAAAATAACTCAATAGTTTCAGGAAGTCCCTGAAACTGACCACATTCACTAGCCCCCTCCATCCCCAAGCACATACAAGCAGTAAGGACTTCTGAGAGATGTTCTCAGACAAGCCCAGCTGTCTACAAGAGGCTCAGACCTGAAAAAGACACTCTCCAACCAGCTGAGCTGTCTACAAGTTGGACAGTATGCTCTAAGTTTCCTGCTTTCATGTGCTGTCAGCCATGCTGGGGTGATGCCATGCTGGGGTGATATAACTATCTTTGAGTCATTCCTGCTCCTGGTAAGTAGCCTCTTACCCAAATTCCTGTAAGTAACCCCAATAAAACAATCTTTCCCAATTTGGACTTTGGTGCTATCCTTACTTTGGTGTCACTGGTTCCCTATCTGGGGTGAGTAGGCATTTGTTCACATCTCCCCAGGAATAGTGTCATACAACAGGGGATTGAACTCAGGTCATCAGGCTTGGTGATAAGCACTTTAACTGCTGAGCCATCTCATTGACTAATAAAGCTGCTGTTTACACTAAAAATATCCTGTATATCATCAAGGATCATGTATTACATTAGGCTATTGTGTCTTTTTTCTTTTTGGTCAATGTTTGTGTAAGTTGATTTATTGACACAGGGTCTTGCTATATAGCTCAGGTTGCCCTTAAACTTGAGATTCTCTTAGCTTAGTTTCCTGAGTGCTGAGATTAAAGGTGGCCATCACCATGTCCAGCTTCTGAGCCATTGGAAAATAAGTCACTGCTTTTGTCATTATAGACCACAGGGTGCATTTTCTAATGACATTGTCTTGTATTACTACAGTACAAGAAGTTAAATCAGGAAATTAAACATTGATAGGATACTATTTATATTCACATTTTCTCATTGTCTCAAGAATATCTTCATAGTTTTGGGGGGGGGTGGAATGGAACAAGATTCCATCAGGGAATCCACTTTGTACTAAATTGATACATCTCTGTATTCTTCCTTAATCTAGGCAGTTGCCTGGCTGCACCTGCCTACCCCCACCACTAGTGGATGTTTCACAACATTGACCTTTTGGAAGGCTTCAGGCCAGTTGTTTTGAAGGTTGTGTCTCAATTTGGATTTGTTTTCCCATGATTAGATTTACAGCAAACATGCTTAAGGTTGATTTATCTTTGATGCAAAACATTAGGAACAACTGCTAAGATATTGAATTTGATCACTTGGTTAAGGGTGTGTGTGTAAATTTTGGTTTCATGTTTTTTCTAGGTAGACAAGTCAGTCACTGAATTTTTTTTTAACTGTCAAATAAGGGCAATAACAGCTGGTTTCATCAGGCTGTTGAATTATTGTATGGAAGGCTTGTAGAACAGCACTTGTTCTCCTTGCCTATGTCTCTTTTTCTGAAACCAAGGTCCTACTTCATACATGCCTGTGCTCTGCCTGATAGCCCTCCGCCCTTCACTGTTAACTATTCTTACTGAAATTATAGAGGTCTTGATATTTAAAACAATCCTTCACCTAAGACAGCTTATGCAGAGGGAGGCAATTCAATGAATATTTGTATATCCCTAAGCTATAGATTGTGATCAATGTCACACAAGGAGGTAAGAAATCAGAGAGGTGAAATTATTTAAGGTCACCTAGGTTGTAGTCAGTGGCAAATGTCCAATTTGAACCCAGGTTTAAAAGATTTGAAATATGGGGGATAAGAATTCTAAAAGTAGCGCTTTAGCGAGGAGGTGGCCGGGAGACTCCCGGTGGAGGGCTTCGGATTGCATGGACCTCGCCGGCCCCTCCTGACCCCCAAGCCTTTACTAAAGTGGTTTGACGCCCCCCCCCAAAAGAATTCTAAAAGTAGCTGGGCATGTACCTCAGTTGGTAGAGTGCTTGCAGAGCAACTATGAGGCCGTGATCCCCAACAGTGGTGTTACCTGCTTGTAAACTCAGCACCCGGGAGATTGAGGCAGAAGAATCAGAAGTTCAAGGTCACTGGATTCAGTGTGTTATAAAAAATGAAAAATATGAACAAGATACATTGTACATAGGCATAAAACTGTTAAATAAATATTCTAAAAAACTTAAAGAAAAGTTCAGGGTCATCATTTGCATAGCAAGTTCCAGGCTGGCCTGAGATACTTGTGACCTTATCTCAAAAACAACAAAACGCCAGAGAGCATTTTTTAAATCCTTAAGGATTTTATAGATGTTTAGTACTGGAGTGTAAGAACGTAAGTCTGCCATTCATACAGCAGGTGCACAATAAATGTTGAGGGAATGAAACATTAAAGTGTAGGGGAGAAGTATAGCGGAGGCCTGGGGAATCCAGCCCTCCCATCCTATCTCAGCCGGGTCACCCGAGTGTGGCTTCCGGTGATCTCACCTCATTTTCAAACCCCATTTCACTTTCCCTCGCGCTCGCGGGCTAACTGGGGTATTTTGGCCCTCGCGTGGAGCCGTCGCTGCAGTTTCTTCTGGCGTCGGTAGCCGGGAAACCGAGTGTCCCAGACTCTAGCTGAGGCCCAGGATGTCTGGCCAAGAAGCCAATAAGAGCGGGGACTCCTCCGCCGCCCGCGCTGCCGCCGTCAGCGACATCCAGGAGCTGATGCGACGCAAGGAGGAGATAGAGGCGCAGATCAAGGTCAATTACGACGTGCTGGAGAGCGTGAGTGAGGGGAGGGTCGGGCGGCTGCGGACCCGAGGCCTGCGGACCCGGCTGGGCGCCGCCTACACCCCCCAAGCCAGGGGTGCCGCGTCTCTCCACCTCCAGGCCTGCGCCACACGCCAGGTGCCTAGGTCATTTACTTAACCTTGCCGAGGTCACAAGGCTAGACTGTTTGCTGAGGCATGGTAAGAGTCACCACTGCCATCGTCCACAATTAGTGCTTACCAGCTATCGCGTGCTTTGCCAACTGCTTTACATCAGGGCTTCTTAAACTTCATCTGTGAGAATTACCCAGGCATTTGGCAAAAACACAGATTCTAGCCAGGGGGCGGGGAGTATTCATACCTGTAATTCCAACGCTTGGGAGGGGGGAGGCAGGAGGATCAAGAGTGTAAGACTATTTTGGCTGTGAAGCTAGCTCAAGGCCTGCTCGAGGGACCTGAGACTTTGCCTCAAAACCAAAAACATGGGGCTTGAGAGCTGGCTCAGTGGTTAAGAAGGCACGTGTTGCCTTTCTAGAGGGCCTCATTTGGATCCCAGCTTAGTGTCATGTAGCTCACAGCCATCAAACTTCAACTGTAGGGGATCCAGCATCCTTTTCTGGTCTCCTCAGTCACACACACACGTGGCATACACAGACACAGATTATACACATTTTAAAAAATAATAAAATGCAGGGCTGGAGAGACGGCCCAGCGGTTAAGAACACTGACTGTTCTTGCAGAAGTCCCAGATTCGAATCCCAGTACCCACATGGCAGCTAACAACTGTACTTAACTCCAGTTCCAGGGGATCCGACAGCCTCTTCTGTCCTCCTCGGGTATAGCACAACACGGGTGCACTTACTTACATGCAGGCATAACACTCATACATATAACATAAAAATAATAATTAAAAAAATAATAAAATGCAAATTCTCAATAAAATAGAATTCAGAGTAAGGACATACTCTACATTTCTAGAAAACCCTAGCTCTGCTAATGCTGATGGTCTAAGGACTACTTTAAGTGATAGGTAAAGCTCATTATCCTTATTGTGAAAGGGAGAAACTGAGGCTCAGAGTGGGGCAGATGCTTGTCAAAATAGGAAGTGGCATTGGTGGGCCAGGTTCCTGTATCTGTTTGACTTCAAAGCAGACAGACACATTTTTCTCCTGCCACCTAGTGTAAAACCTGTATCAGTTTGAAGAGGAAGAATAGGTTAATCACAAGCAGAAAGGGTGGGTGGAATGGGTTTTAGGTGGTGGAAGTAAACAAAGAATCATGTAGAGGTTCCATATCCAAGTACCATGTTCTTGGGAGTTGACCATATATGCCTGAAAGGTGCTGGCTTGTATGTGTGCTGTGTCATGAAACTGTCACGACTACACTGTTCCCAGAGGTGGGAAGTCAGGCTAGAGTGATGGTTCAGCAGGTGAGAGCACTTGCTGTAAACCATGAGGAACTGCTGATCTTAGCATCTGTAGAACAAGCTGGGTGGGCCGGTAAATAACTCTAACGCCATACACATGCAAATAAATGAAATAAATCTTTAAAATACATTAAAAGCCCTGGGTGTGGTGGCTCACGCCTTTAAATATATATATGGTTTTTTTTTTTGGTATTTTTGAGACAGGGTCTCCCCATAGCTCCAGCTGTCCTGGAACTCACTATGTAGACCAGGCTGGCCTTGAGCTCACAGAGATCGACCTGCCTCTGCGTCCCGAGTGCTGGGATTAAAGGCGTGCGCCACCATGCCCGGTGACATTTATATATTTTTTAAAAAATATTTTTTATTTATTTTTATTTTACGTGTATGTGTGTATTGCCTGAGTGTAGATAAGTGTACGCATGTCTTACAATGCCCAAGGAGAACAAAAGAGGGTTTCCAATTCCCCTGGAACTGGAGTTAAGGATGGTTTGTAGCCACCATGTGGGTGCTGGGAATCGAACCCGGGCCCTCTGCCAGAAGTCAGTGCTCTTAACTGCTGAGCCCAATTTATTTTTATTTTATGTGTATGTTTTACTGTCTGTATGTAAGCACACCTGTGTTCTACAATGCCTGAGGAGGCCAGAAGAAGGCAGTGGATCTCCTGGAACAGAAGTTATGGATGGTTGATAGCCACCTTGTGGGTGCTGGGAACCAAACTCAGGTCTTCTGCCAGTGCAGCCAGTGTTTTTAACTGTTTAAGCCCTCCCTCCATCCCTTCACTAAAGTTTATTTAAAAGGAAAATTCGGCCAGGTGTAGTGGTGTACTCCTGTAATCCTAACACTTGGGAGGCAAGGGCAGGAGGATGGATTGTCACAAGTTCAGGGTCAGCCTGATCTATAATAGCAAGTTCTAGAGCATATAGTAAGTTAGCAAGCTCCTGTCTCACCAAAACAAAACAAAAAAGTTTTTTTTTCTTTTAAATTTTATTTATTATTTTTATTTTATGTGTATGTGTGTATTGTCTACATGTAGGTAAGTACACCTGTGTCCTGCAATGCCCACGGAGGACAGAAGAGACTGTCAGATCCCCTGGAACTGGAGTTACGGACAGTTGTTAGCTGCCATGTGGGTACTGGGATTCAAACCCAGGTCTTCTGCAAGAACAACCAGTGTTCTTAACCGCTAAGCCATCTCTTCAGCTCAACAAAAAGGTTTTGAGGTGCTTCCCTTGAAAGCATGAGGACTTGAGTTCAATTCACAGAATCCATATAAAAATGCTGGGGGAAAGAGCTGTGTGAAGTGGCACACATCTTTAATCCCAGCATTTGGGAGGCAGAGGCAGGTGAATCTCTGAGATCAAGGCCAGACTGGTCTACATAATGAGTTCCAGACCGGCTGGGGCTATATAGGGAGACCCTGTCTCAAAAACAAACAAGCAACAACAACAACAAAAACCAAAAGCTGAGTATGATAGCATGCATTTGTGATCCCAGCACTGGGGAGGCAGAGACTGGAGTAGGCCTGAGGGTTCCTGGCCAGCTAATCTAGCCTAATTGATAAGCTCCAGGCCAATGAGAGACCCTATCTCCAAGGAGTAGAATTCCTAGGATGTCATCCAAAGTTGTCCTATGGCCTCCACATGCATGCATATGTACATGTGTATCCACACATACACATGAGCATACACACATGCATGTACATACACACACATTAAAACCAAAAATGAAGAAAAGTTATAATTGCATTATATATGGAAAGTGAGTCTGTTTTCTGTTTTCCTTTAAATATAAGGCAACAGAGACTGGTCATTGCTTCTGGCTACGTTCTGTTGGTTACTGAAGGCATTAAGCATAAAGACCTGCTCTGTGACTTTTATTTAAATGTATTTTTGTCTCTATGTATTTATGTATCTCTGTGTTTATGCTATGTGTATGTGGGTGACTCTGGAGGCCAGAAGAGGGTGTCAGATCTCCTGGAACTGGAATTACAGACAGTTGTAAGCCACTCATGGATGTCTTATTTATGACACAAAAATTGCAAATTCTGAAGGAAAAATGGTAATTTGTATATCAGTATTAAAATTTTGAGTTTCTAGGGGAGCGATGGCCGCTCTTGCAGAGGACCTGGGTTCGATTCCCAGCACCTACTTGGCAGCTAACAACTGTCTGTCACTCCAGTTCCAGGGGATCCTGAGGCCTTCCTCTGACCTCCATAGGCATTGTATGACACAGGTGCAGGCAATAGACTCATACACATAAAATAAAAATAATAAATAAAATATAGAAACCAAACAAATGTTGAGTTTCTGGGCTGGAAAGATGGCTCAGAGGTAAACAGCATTGGCTGCTCTTGCAGAGGACCTGGGTTCTGTTCCAGCACTCACATGGTGACTAACAACTGTCAGTAACTCTAGTTCCAGGGCATCTGATGCCCTCTTCTGACCTCTGTGGGCACTGCATGACACAAGTACATTTACATACATGCAGGCAAAATACACATACACATTAAAATAAAATAAGCCTGAGTTTCCTAGGACTTAAAGTGGAAGATGTCAGGTGTGATAGGGCACGAGTGCTTATTCTCAACACTTGGTAGGCAGAAGCAGGCATATCTCTCTGGGTTTGAGGCCATCCTGGTCTGCATAGTAAGAGACCCTGTCTCAGAAAAAAAAAAGAAAAGAAACTAAGTCAATAGAATGGGAGAAAACGTTTGCAAATTATCTGGTTGAGGGCTAGTGTCTAGAATATAGGAAGAGCATGTAACAATTCAATTAAAAAGACAGTTAAAAGTTACCCAATTAGAAAAGTTAAAAGTTACCCAATTAGAAAAGGGCATAGGATCTAAATAGACATTTGTCAAAAATATAAAATATATATATGGTCGATACAAAAAGCACATGAAAACATGCTGAACAAACTTTAACTATTAGGGGAATGTAAATCAAAACCACAGTGAGATATCACTTTATACCCATGAGGATGGATATATAAAAAGATGGGAATCAGTATTAGGGAGAGTGTGGAAAAACTGGAACCTTCATACACTGGTAAGTGATGTGACTGCTGTTCAGAGCAGTTTATTGGTTCCTCAGAAGATTAAATTTAGAGTGTAATCCAACAAATATAATCCAGCAAATCCATTCCTATGGGTAATAACCACAGTACTTGAAAGTAAATGTTCATACAAACATTTTTACACAAATTTTAAAGTTAAATAGAATTGCCTAAAGAAGCCAAGAAGTTGGGGCTGGTGAGATGGCTCAGTGGTTAAGAGCACTGACTGCTCTTGCAGAAGACCTGGGTTCAATTCCCAGCACCTACATGGCAGCTACGAATGGTCCTTAACTCCAGTTCCAGGGGAATCCGAAGCCCTCTTCTGACCTCCGCGGCGTTGCACAACATGGGTGCGCTCACATATATGCAGGCAATGCACTCATAGATAAAGTAAAAATAATAAATTTTTAAAAATGTGTAAAAAGAAGCCAAGAGGAGGAAGCAGCTCAAATATTCTTCAAATAATGGCTAAATAAAATGCAGTCTACCCATATAATGAGATATTTGACAGTAAAAAGGAATGGAGAATTAATTATACTATCATTACTAGTTTACGCTATAACATGAATAAACCTTGAAACATTGTGATAAATGAAGTTACAAAACACCATACATTGTATGCATGTGTTATAAATGTATTACATGATTTCTCTCTCTCATTTTTCTGGGGTAGGGGAGAGAAAGGGTCTTGCTGTATATACCTGGGTGGCCCAGTACTTGCTTTGTAACACAGGCTAGCCTCAAGCTCATGGCTCATGGCACTCTTCCTGCCTCAGCCTCCTGAATCCTGGGATTATGGGAATGCACCACTATGGCCAGCTCATGTTTCTTTTTTGGACACAATATCTTACAAAATCCAAGCTGGCCTTGAACTCATTCTGTAGCCCAGCCTAGCCTCAAACTCACAATCTTCTGTTTCAGCTTCTCAAGTATTGGGATTATAAGTGCATGCCACTGTGCATGGCTTCATTTATATGAAGTGTCCTGTTCTAGTATGCATCTTGAATGCCCCCTGAAGGCCCATGTGTTAAAGGCATGTTGTCCATGGTGATGGCATTGAGGTGTAGAGGGACCTTGAAGAGGTAGAGTTCCTATAGTTATTGGAGGCATGCCCTTAAAGGGATAGGGGGACTGCAGCCCTTTGGTTTTTCTTTTTGTTTCCTGACTCATAATGTAAATGATTTTGCTCCATGATACATATCCACAGTGATGTGGTCTAAAAACAATGAGTCTCTTTTTGGGGGTGATGAAAATAAACTAAAATTGTGATAATGGATAATTAACTCAGTGAATATTTTATAAACAATTGAATTGTAGACTTTTAATGGCTCAGTTTTCTATATGTGAATTACATCATATTAAAATTGTTTTAAATGGAGGATCCCAGGGATAGCATGTGTTCTGGGGTTGTTGTAAAGACCAGCACCAGGTGGGAGGGAGCATTGTCCTTGACCACTGAAGAAGGAAGAGAATAGTCACAATTCTCTTGTTTCAACCTCCTGGTTTTCCAGGATAATTCTCTCTCCAGATCCTTGTCTTAATTACATCTTCAAAGACCCATTTCCCAAACAAAGTCACACTCCTAGGTTCTGGGGGACAGACATGTGGGGGGGTGCCACCATTCAGTTCATCACACTGTACATGTGCCTGGCCTTGTGCTAAGAACTCACTCAAGCCTCCTTACTGTTCTTGTTCTTCCCTTGTGCAGCTGAAGAAACAGACTTGGAATGTGTGATGTCTTGGACAAAGATGCCCAGCTTGTATATGACAGAATTGGGATTCAGATCAAAGTCTAGCCAGTTGTGCAGCTCCTGCACCCCCCTGCCCCGAACCGCAATGTGTTTCATTGCTTTTGTGTTCTGTTCCCTGACTTATATAGGAAAAAAACTTCAAAATGTTAAAGCCAGTCAAGCATGGTGCTTCATACTGGGGAGACCAAAGCAAGATGATTGCCAGAGTTCAAGGTCAGCCTTAATGCACTGAGAGCTTGTCTCACACAGACAGTTGATAAAACAAGCCAGAAGCAGAGGGCCTCTAGTTCAGTGACTTAGGAGGCAGAGACAAGAGGATTGGTTGATGCCAAGGAATTGAGGGCAGCCTGGGTAATAGGGAGATCCTGTCTGGAAAAATAAAAGTCTTTAAATAAATGTATTGTTTTGAATAGAGAATATATTACCAAGGTTCAAATTCAGAACCCAGTAGTCTTTGTAGGCCTCTTAGGTCTTTTTATTTTCAGAAGAATAAAAACTAGGCCACAGCTAGATGCTCTTGGGTTTACTTCCTCCAACTTTCAGGTCTCAGCCAGGTACTGGGAGGAGGGATTGGAGGAGCCAGGTCAGGGACGGGGCTTAGGGATAATGCTCAGAAGGATCTTTGGGTGTTTTGTTTGTTTTGTTATGGGTTTAATTAATTATTTTTTGAGACTGGACCTCACATATCCCAAGGTGACCTTGAACTCACTGTGTAGCCAGGGATGACATTGAACTTATGATCCTTCTGTCCCCACCTCATGCATTACCATGCCTGGTTTATGTTTTTGCTGTACTGGGGATCAAACCCAAGGCTCTATGCATGTTAGGCAAGCACTGAGCTACATCCTTAGCTCCTTTTTTTTTTTTTTTTTTTTAAATACTACAGGGAGTAGGGGGGGCTGGAGACGAGGGTTCAGTGGTTAAGAGCACTGACTTTTCTTACAGAAGATCTGGGTTTGAATCCCAGCACCCACATGGTGGCTAACAACTGTAACTCCAGTACCAAGGGATCTGATGCCCTCTTCTGTCCTCCTCAGGCACTGCAGGACACAGGTGCACTTATGTACATGCAGACATAACACTCATACACATAAAACAAAAAATAAAAAATAAATGCTGCAGGGAATTGAGCCCAGGGTCTTATATATGTCAAACAAGTGCTCTACCACTGAGCTACCATCCAGCCCTTGGAATCTTGGGCTTTTAATGCATTGCCTCTGTTATTATTATTTTTAACATTTTGTGTGTGTGTGTGTGTGTGTGTGTGTGTATGTGTTTGTGTGCATGCCTCAGTGCACATATGAAGGTCAGAGCACAGCTTTTGGGAGTTGGTTCTCTCTTCCCACCCTGTTGGTCCTGGGGTGGAATCCAGGGAGGTCAGGCTTGGCTGTGGGCACCGTTACTCACTGAACCATCTCACCAGCTTCATTGATTGCATTATTAGAAATTCATTTAAAAAATAGTACACATGTCAGAGGGTAGCTGTGAGGAAATGAATAAAGAGCCTAGTTTGTGCTGAGAGGTCACTATGTGGTCATTTCATTACTGACACCTTTATTATGACAGAAGAAAAAAAGTCTGGGAATTGTGTCTTGATATTCTTACTTGTGAGACTTTCTAACCACATGTCTCTCCTCCAGCAAAAAGGAGTTGGGATGAACGAGCCGCTGGTGGACTATGAGGGCTACCCCCGGGCAGACGTGGACCTGTACCAGGTCCGGACAGCAAGACACAACATTATCTGTGAGTGGCCCTCATTGGGGCCTTGTCTTACTTTGTGGTGGGGATGCTAAAGGCAAATGTGTAATCTCCAGTGTTGAGGGCCATCTACTGGCCCCCCTTTTGCCTTGACGTGAGTATCTCATTGTCCTCAGTGAGGGACTGAGAACCCAGGGAATGGACTAGCCAGTAGAGTTCCACATTTATGCTTTCATTTTTTATGTGTATGAGTGTTTTGCTGCAATCATGTATATGTACCATGTATATGCAATGCCCCTAGAGCTCATAAGAATTAATGACAGCTGTGAGTTCCATTTGGATGCTGGAGCCTGAAACTGAGTCCTCTTCCAAGAGCAGCAAGTGCTCTTAACCACTGAGCCATCTCTTCAGCCCCTATTTTTCTGTTTTATTTTATTGTTGTTGTTGTTTTGATACAGGGTCTTCCTGTAGTCCCAGCTGGCCTGAAACTTGTTTGTGTAGACCAGGCTGACCTTTCTCACAGAGGTCTGCCTGCTTTTGACTTCCGAGTGAGTGTTGGGATTAAAGATGTGTGCCACCATGCCCAACTCCTGTTTTTCCTTTCTTTTTATTTTATTTATTATTTTTATTATTTTATGTGTATAAGTGTATTGCCTGCATGTATGTGAGTGCACCCATGTCATGCAGTGCCGCAGAGGTCAGAAGAGGGCTTCAGATTCCCCTGGAGCTGGAGTTAAGTTCATAGCCGCCATGTGGGTGCTGGGAATCGAACCCCAGTCCTTTGCAAGAGCACTCAAGTGCTCTTAACCACTGAGCCATCTCTCCAGCCCCCTAGCTCCCATTTTTCTAATTTAAATACTTCAAGCTGAGCATGATGGTGCACACCTGTAATCCCACAGTTGGGACGTGAAGGTAGGAATGTCAGAAGTTCAAGGGCCTTGGCTACATGAGACATGTCACAAGTAAAACATGGGGCTAGAGAGATGGCAAAGCAGTCAAGGGCCCTGGTTCTTCTTGCAGAGGACTGGGGTTTGGTTCCCAGCAGTAATGTGGTGGCTCATAATGGTCCATAATTCCAATTCCAGGGGATCCAATGCCCTCTTCTGGCCTCCAAGGGCCTTGCATGTACAAGCGTGTTTACATGTATGCAAAACACTGATATGCATAAAAATAAACAATGAAAGAAGGTTTGTAAAAAAGCAAAACACAACAAAAAGAACTTTCCTTCTTTGTGGGAACTTACTGAACTAACAACTGAAGCCCAACCCTGTATTACTGGTTTACCATTCCATGCTTGTTGGGAAGTAGGTTCAGCTATTCAAGATAGTGACCTGAGTCCCATCATTCAAACTTAAAAGACATGGAGGGGCTCTCACTGGGGGCCCTTGAAGGTAGGCAGTGCAGGGCAGGTTAGCAGAAGGCAAGCTCTGTCTCTGTCTTCAGGGCCCACAGCCTGCATTCTAGGTAGAAAGAAGGTAATACGGCGAAAGTTCCCATGCCAGATGGTATCCCCCCTTTTTTAGGATCTGTGCTTCAAGTCCCACCCTCTACCTGCTGTGTTAATTAACGTTTTCCCTCCCAGGCCCTTCTGCCAACCAGGAAAGCTGGGAAAACCTATAGCATTGTGGCCCATTGCTTCCTTAAGTAAAACCTTATGTGTACTTGTTTGTTTTAACCAAGAAACTAGCAGAGAATGGTGTCTGGAGAGGATATTAGGTTTTGTGTTCCTGCCATGACAAGATCACAGACGTGTATTTTCTGACTGTCTGGAGGTGAGAAGTCCAGATGGTCTTTCTGGCACAATCAAGGTGTCAGCAAGGCTGGCTCTTATGGGGGTGGTGGATAGTGGTGGTGTCTGGTATTCCTTTCCTTTCTCAGCTTCCAGAAGGCACTGAGTCTCCTGGCTCTTGGCTGTTTTCTGTCTTCAGAACTAGTGGTTGCATCTTTCCAGCCTCTCCACATTTCTGTGTAACCCTCCTGCCTCCCTCTTTGGCTTGTTAAGACCCATGTGATGACGTCAGGTCCTCCTGGAAAATCCAAGATCGTCTTCCCCCTCAGGGTCCTTAATTACACCTGCAAAAGTCCCTTTTTCCTCATGAGGTCACACATGCACTGACTCTGGGGATGAGGATTTATGTGTCACTTGCCACTGGTAGACAGCTAGCTCTCTATCCCAGTCATATTAAAAGGAAATTTATCATCCAGATTTTCCTCATAATTATTTCTGGTGCATGGGCCTGAACTCTGACTTCACCTGCAGGGTGTTTTGGTAATGAGGATATGCTTCTCAAACAGGATGCAAGGTTTTTGGTAATGAGGCCTTCTCAAACTAGGCTGCAGCAGAAGATATCAGGATTCTACAAGCCACAGTGTGGTTGTAGGACACCTCAGAGCATCCCCCTTTCCCTGAAGATTTTGGTTAAAAAAAGTTTCATTTTTACATTAAAATAACTAAGAAGACGCAGAGAAGGGGAAAACCATGCTGAAGGTGGCCAGGCCTGAGGGAAGTTCTGGCCCTTTGTTTGAACCTCTAGACAACCCAGGGAGGTGGCCCACTCACTTCTGCATTAGCCAGACCTTGGGGGAAATTTGAGAGTAGTGGGCCACAGGGCAGGGAGGGTAGTGATTTTAATTTTTCTCCAAATGATTTGCTTGATGTTCTGATGCCATTCTACTCCTACTTGTTTGAAATGCCAGCATATTGTTTGGATTGTGTGTATTTCTGGGTATTGAACCTTGGGTCTCATGCTAAGCACTCACTGTACCCCTGAGCTACACCATAAGTTCCCAGCTTGGGTTTTCAATTACACTTAGGCCTATTGCTGGACTTTTTATACTGTTCATTGATCTGTTTTTTTGAGTGTTAATTTCACACCATCTAAATGACTTTATTACATGTTAAGGATATAGTTGAACAATCGCCCCTTATTAGCATTGTTGAAAAATTATTCCTACAAGTTTATTGTAATCTTAAAAATACATTTTTTAGAACAGTTTTAGACTTACATTAAAATTGGGAAAATAATACAGACAGGTCTCATTTATTATGTACCCAGTTTCCCCTAATTACTAGCTTATATTAGCCTGGAACATTCGTTGAAACTTAAATTTGATTTTGAAATACAGTGCAAAAGCATTTACCTAGGCAAAGAAAACCCTTTGCCTTCTGATTTAGAATTGCAATCTATTAGCAATCAGGCCATTCCTCCTGTTACCAATGCTGTGGATTGAATATGGATTTTCAGGCCTCACTGGAGATTCTTGGGCCTTACCACTTAGTGGCTTTTCTTGTCAGAGTTTGTATATGACATACTGACCCTGCTTTATGCCTTCCTGCCCTAGTGTCTAGGGTTTTTTTTTTCCCTCTCATGTCTGCTCCTGTAGCAGAGTACCCAAGTCCCATAATGCCCAGGGGTTCACTTTTGCTCCATAGTAACAGGGGTGATGAGTTAGGTAAGAAGCTTACAGTCAAAGGGTCCTGAAGATTTAGAGAGTCTGTGACCCATGGATGCCAGATATGAGTTGATGAACAGGGTGGCTGTCGCAGCTTTGAGACTCCACAGAATGAGTTGTGTGAGTGACCTGGCTTGAAATAAGAAGTGGAGTCCAGAGAAGTAGGGGAAATTGTTTTGAGAAAGTTTTGAAGAGAGTCGTCACAATGCCAGTTGCACACAGGACTGACCTGTAAACAGGCTCTGTTGGACTGACATGGTGGCTCAGAACTGAAAAGTCAAAGACTGTCCCCCATGTATAACATGCCTGGTTTATGTAGGTGCTGGGGATCAAACCTAGGGCTTTGTACATGCTAGGTAAACCACTATACCAACTAGGCTATATCCTTGGTCCTAGGTGAAATCCTTTTAAACACCTATTCTGCCTTATTCTTGGTTTTTTTTTGTTTTTTTTTTTTTGTCTTCTTTGAGACAGGGTCTCATGTACCCTACACTGGCCTCAAACTCACTATGTAGCTGAGGATAACCTTGAACTTATGATCCTCCTGCCTCTGCCTCCCAAGTGCTGAGACGACAGATGTCTTCCATCATGTCCTCTGCTTGCCTATTCCTTTTCAGTCTCAGACCCATCTTAGTGATGGTGCCACCCACATGCAGGGTGTGTCCTCCCTTTGAACTAACTACTTTGGAAATTCCACTGATACTCCCAGAGGTTTGTCCTACGTGATTCTAATTCTGAAACCGGATATGATGGCACACACCTTTACTCCTTAATTCAGGAGGCAGAGGCAGGTGGATCTCTGAGTTCAGTGCCAGCCTGGACTACAAAGTAAGTTTCAGGCCATCCACAGCTACATAGTGAGGCTCTATCTCAAAAAAACAAAGCAAAACAAAAAACAAACCAAAAAAAAAAAACCCCTTAAAAACAGGAAAGCTAAATCTTGTGAAATTGGCGAGATAAATTGTCACAGTAAGTGGATGTAGGTGCCTTGTCTCTCCTGTGTTCTGTGTCCTGGGTTGTCTTTTCTGGCCCCTGACATGGTGTTCCCTTCCTAGGCCTACAGAATGATCATAAGGCGGTGATGAAGCAGGTAGAGGAGGCCCTGCACCAGCTACATGCTCGGGACAAGGAGAAGCAGGCCCGGGACATGGCCGAGGCTCATGAAGAGGCCGTGAGCCATAGGCTGAGCTCAACTGACAGCCACAACCTTCCTCAGGCCTTTGCCAAAGTGAACAGCATCAATCCTGGCTCTCCAGCCAGTACTGCGGTAATCCTGCCTTTTCCCCTACATCCACACATGGGGGTGTTGTAGGTTAGATAACCTTGGGGGCAGCCTTGGTAGCCAGACCCACTTTCCCTTTACTCCTGCAATAAGTGCTGGCTGGAGCTTGCTGTACACTGGTTCAGCCTGCCAGACTTGGGAGAGGCCTGCTCCCAGTGACACCTGGGACATAACCTAGAAGGTGGTAAATGTGAAATGAAGTCTAGCCTGCCTCTTTTTTTTCCTAGCTACTATTCTAACTACCTTTTTCTTTTTTTTTTTTTTTTTTTTTTTTTTTTGTCTTTTTTTGAAACAGGGTCTCCTTGTAGCCCCAGTTGACCTGGAGGTCACTATTATAGACCAGTCTGGCCTCAGTCTCACAGAGATCCGCCTGGCTTTGCCTCCTGAATGCTGGGATTAAAAGCATGCACCAATACTCCAGTTCTGCTTTATAAATTTTAAAGATGTAAATTATTTATTTGTTTATTTATTTATTTATTTACTTATTTATTTATGGTCCTTTTGAGACAGGGTTTCCCTGTAGCCCCAGCTGGTCTGGAACTCACTATGTAGACCAGGCTGGCCTTGAACTCACAGAGATCCACCTGCCTCTGCCTCCCGAGTTCTGGGATTAAAGGTGTGCGCCACCACGCCTGGCTCAAAGATGTAAAACTTTAGCAGCATTATTGAGATGTACTTCACATGGCATAAATTACTCCAAGTATATAGTTCAGTGGCTTTTAGTACATTCACAAAGCTGTGTATACAACCCCTCAATCAATTTTCAAATATTTTCATTGTCCTAGTAAGAAATCATGTAAGTTCTAGGCAACCACTGGGACTTGGCAATCACTAGTCTTTTTGCCTCTGGATTTGCCAGTTTTGGACATTTCATGTGAAGGGAATCATATAACATGCAGACTTTTGTTGTTTGCTTTTTTTTTTTTTACTCAGAATCAGGATTTATTCAGGGATTAGCCATCTATAAGGACCTCATTGCTTTTTATGGCTGAATAATATTCCAATGCATGGGTAAACTATTTTGTTTATCCATTTGTCAGTTAATGGATGTTTGGATTGCCTCCACTTTAGGGCTTATTATAAATAATGCTTCCATGAACATTCATGTACAAGTTATATGTGGGCATGCATTTACATTTAATAGGACAGCTACCCTCTGGAGTAGAACTACTCTATTTGACCCATGAGAAAAAGCCACATAGACTTGAAGCAACCTGTGTAGGGCACACAGCTCCCAGAAAAAGCGGCATTGGGTCCTGAATCCAGATCCTGAGTGTGGTGGCACAAACACTCGTGTACTCAGGAAGCTGAAGCAGCAATATCACAAATTTGGGTAATTTAATGAAAACCATGGAAAGAGAACTGAGGATATAGCTCAATGGAAGAGCGCTTGCCTAGGTTCAATTCCCAGTACTGCAAAAATAAAAATAAAGTAAAAGACTGTAAGTATACATAAGCTCTGCCTTATTTATAACTGTTACCTGTAGCATCTAGCACAACACTGTAGTAGACCTATAGCAGATACTTGTTGAAGGAATAATGAGCAGTGATCTATATTCTTGGGACCAGAAATAAAAAGGCCATACTCATTTTGGTTAGCCTAGTGGCTTTGGCTGCTATTTTGAGACCTCCAGGACAAACATTTGTCTTGTCTAAAAAAGTAGTCCTAGGGACTGGAGAGATGGCTCAGTGGTTAAGAGCACTAACTGCTCTTGCAGAGGACCTGGGTTCGATTCCCAGCACCCACATGTTGGCTACGAACCATCCTTAACTCCAGTGGGGAATCTGAAGCCGTCTTCTGACCTCTGCGGCCCTGCATGACACAGGTGCGCTCACATACATGCAGGCAATACACTCATGCACATAAAATAAAAAATAAAATATTAAAAAAAAAAGTAGGCCTAATCCTCTCGTCTGCCCCTTCTTACCCTTGAACCTGGCTCACAAGCCCTAGAGAGTAGCATTTAGCTTTTCCTATATTCCTCAAGGTCTCCACTGGGCAAGCTTGAACCCCATTGGTGAGATCTGCCCTAGAACAAACCTCCAGGAGGAGGTAGCTCACTTACTGACTCTTCCTGCAGGACAAGTCCAAATCTCTGAGCTCTTTGCTTTGAGTCTGCCATTCTCTCATGTAGGAAATAAACTTTTGACCTTGCCATTGAGTTGAGTATTAAAGCTTAAAAAATACCAGAAACATCTTCAACCTCTTGCTTAGTTATTCATTTTCTCTCATGGTTACTCATTTTCTCCTGTCTTCAGGGCCTGCAAGTGGATGATGAGATTGTGGAGTTTGGCTCTGTGAACACCCAAAACTTCCAGTCACTGCAGAATGTTGGCAGTGTAGTGCAGCACAGTGAGGGGGTAAGTTATCAGCTTCCTGGCATGTGGTGCCATACAAACCACAGAAGCCTGTTGCTTACAGTTCTGGAGGTTGGATGTAAGTCCAAGATCAGGGTGCCACAGATTTGGGGTCTGGTAAGGGATGCCTTGTGGTCCACAGATGGCCCCTCCTCACTGCATGCTCAAGTGATGGATGGGATGGGCTCTCAATAAAAACACTGTTCCATCACACAGGCTCTACCCTTATAGCCTCACATCTATCTAAAGCTGTCTCTTAATCCATCATACTGGGGATTAGGCTTTTAGCACAAGAGTTTGTGGAAGGGAAACAAACATTCAGCCCATAGCACTGGGCATCTGTCAATCACCCTGGAATTTCCAGGCCCAGAAAATGTTGCTGGACCTTTGCTGCCTATAGTATACACAGAGCAGTTCCTGTTCAGGGCCTTTGCACTTATGTTCCTTCTAACTAGAACGTTCCCCCATGCTGCCACTCATCTATATGTAGTTGACTACTCAGTGAGGCCTTGGCACATACTTTATTCTCTTTCACAGGTATTAATGGTGTACAAACCAATCATGTATGTGACTGTGCAGATGGGTGTGCTTTTCTAGGTGGAAACTAGAAAAAGTTATTGGTTCTAAGAGTACACACTGAAGAAGATGATGATGATTATTATTATTATTTCTTTTTGAGACAGGGTCTTGCTGTAGCTCCAGGTGTCCTGGAACTCACTATGTAGACCAGGCTGGCCTTGAACTTTTAGAGATCTGCCTCCCGAGTGCTGGGATCAAAGGCGTGCGCCACCACACCTGCCCGAAGATTATTTTTATTTGAGACAGAATCTCACTATGTAGCCTAGGATGACCTTGAACCTTCTGGTCCTCCTGCTTCCATCTCCTGGTGCTGGGATTACAGGTGTGCTCCACCATGCCTGGTTTTATGTGGTGCCAAGCCACCTCCCCAGCCCATGGACATGCTTTACTTCCTCTGGAATTTATTTTTGCAATTCGTGTGAGGCAAACTGCCTGACTTTTTTTCCCCAAATGGATAGTAGTTGTCCCAGTACATTTATTGAATACGTAATGCTTTACCCACCAATTTGCATTGTCACTTCTGCTAATATTACATTTCTTTGTGTGCGTGTGGTGGGGTGGGGATCTTTTCTGCTCCATTGGTCTGTTTGTTCCAAGCTTTTCCAGGATTACTTAGAAGAAACCCATTTGTTCCTTGTCAGCTTTCCTTTAACTCCTTGCTCTAAAAGTGAGTGAAAAAAACCCACTAGAAATTTAGCAGCTTATAACAGATGTTGCTGGTCAGCCAGGCACCACACGTGCCTTTAATGCCAGCCCTTGGGCACCAGAGGCAGGTGGATCTCTGTGAGATTGAGACCAGCCTGGTCTACATAGCGAGTTCCAGGCCAGCTGAGGCTACAGGGAGACCTTGTCTGAAAAAAAAGAAAGATCAAAAAAAAAAAAAGTCCGAAAACAGATGTTGCTTATCTCTCTGGATAGAGGGTCAAGTGTCCTAAGTAGCTCAGCTGGGTCTAGCCCAGAGGCTGCCATGAGGGGCCAGTCAGGATGTCAGCAGAAACCTCTGCCATCTTAAGACTCCACAGAGGCTGTAAAATCCATACCTCTCCTATGGAGGCTGGCCTGAGGCTTCAGTTCCTGAGGTTGCAGTTTCTAAGGCCTGTTGTGTGTCCTTACAACATAGCCATTGATTTCCCACTGAGGTTGAGACCCCAGAAGGAGAGAGCTTGGAGGAAGCCTGAAGGCCTTTTTTGCTCTAATCACCAAAGACATACATTGTCATGTCCTCCTGACCTGTTAAAAGTGAGTTCCTAGGCCCAACCCATGTATGTACGTGCATGCATGTATGAGGGATTGGGCCTTCTGAAGTACGACATGTAGGATTTGGGATGTGACACTAAGCTACCACATACGGTTTCCATCTTCCTACTGACCCACTTCTCTCTTGTCCACTTGTTTGCATTTTCATTTGGTTACCACCTCTTTCCTTTCTAGGCTCTTTCCTAACTTACTTGCCTTTGTAGCTGTGTAGTCTTCCTAGACTGTTACTCTCACCATCATTTCAGTGAGGTTGTGAAAGGTAGACATAGGTTCCCTGATGCTTACCCCACATCTTGATTTTTCAGTTCTTTTCCCTATCTTTTTCTTTTTTTTATATATTTTATTTATTATTCTTTATGTGTATGCATGTATTGCCTGCATGTAGGTAAGTGCACCCATGTTGTGCAATGCCCTCAGAGGTCAGAAGAGGCTTTCAGATCTCCTGGGGCTGGAGTTAGAGACAGTTGTTAGCTGGCATGTGGGTACTGGGATTTGAACCCAGGTCTTCTGCAAGAACAACCAGTGTTCTTAACTGCTGAGCCATCTCTCCAGCCCCTTCCCCTTGCATTTTCAGAAAAGGTTTCATGTATCCCAGGATGACTTCAAACTTGCTGCATAGTAGATGAACTTCTGATCCTCCTGCCTCCCACCTCCCAAGTAGCTGAGATTTTGGGTGTTACACCACCATGCTGATTTTATGCAGGGCTGTGAATGAAACCAGGGCCTCGTGTATGGCAGACGAGCAATCTAACATGTCCCAGCCCCTTTCTCCGTGGCCTTTTGCTGTGCTGTGGTTTACTCATGTGTCCCTCAGTGTCCTTTTACATTCAGCAGACTTTTGGGCCCATTGTCACAGATTAGTTTGTAAATGTATCTTGATGTTAACTTCTGAAAAGGAAGTTCATACATATGGGAAAACAGAACCAAAGCACAAAGCCTCCTCCAAGTTCATTTCCCGGCCACTTTCAGAAAGTGCTGCTCACCGACTAGTAGAGAGAGCTGTTGGCTGTCTTTAGAAAGTGTCGTTTACCTATAGCAAGATGTACCTTTTCACTTACTGGCCTATGACTTGTGACAGTTGTATGTAGTCATGTCACCACCACAGTAAACACAGAGCCATGATCCCCAGGTTGACTCTTCCCTTTGTGGTTAACCTTCTCTTCCCAACCACTGACCTGTGCTATGTCCCTACAACTTTATATTTTCCAGAATGTCACAGAAGAGGGCCCACAGTGCACCCTTTTGAGCCTGGCTCCCTGCAGGAAGCAGAGCAGGTTTTTGAGCATCATGTTTTCGTAATTCATTCCTTATTGCTGAGGACTATTCACAAGACCCGTGTATCCCAGATTGTTTATCCACTTGCCAGTGAGAGACATTTAGGGTGTTTCCTGGGTTAGGTGATATTGACAGTAGTTAACTGGGTTTTAATCTGCCTTCTCTAGAGAAATACAGACTTAGTTTCTTTATTGGACTATAAATCCTTCTTTACAGCGTTTTAAGCAAATAGAAACTTTGCTTCAAAAAAAATGTTTTGGGGAATCTTAGTATTTCAAATGGATGAAAGCAGAACTTCTGTGTCTGGGTTGGATGTCATGCCATATCCCCTAGGGCCTGCTGGATCTTTTTAGGGGCCAGAGCCTTGCTTCAGAATCAAGAGTCTGGGTTCCCATTGTCTGTCCTATGATTAAAAAAATAAAAAACAAAAGCCCAAACAGTGCTATGTTGCTATCATTTAGGTAGTTTCCAGTTTTATGAAGCATGAAAATTAATGCTCTTGTAGATAAGACTGTTTCTTCAGGTGTACTCCAAAAGTGCAGTATTTGAATCAAATGCATGTTTTCTTTTTTTAAAAAAAACTTTGTTTTTATTTTGTGTGTATGTGTGTTATTGCCTGCATGTTTGTAAGTATATCTGTGTCGTGCAATGCCCTCGGAGGTTAGAAGAGGGCTTTAGATCCCCTAGAACTGGAGTTATGCATGGTTGTCAGCTGCCATGTGTGTGCTGGGAACTGAACCCATGTCCTTTACAGGCAGTCAGTGCTCTTACCAAGCCATCTTTCCAGCCCCAAATGCATGTATTTTCAAAGGAAAAAAAATCTCCAGTGAAAAAATTATTATTGTTCTTATTAAAGCCTATTTTATTCAGCCATAAGAAAGGATGAAGTATGACATGTGTGGTCTGTATTAGACCATCAGATACATATAAAGTGAAAGAGGCCAGGCACAGGGCCAAACAATGTATAATTCTACTCAGTGTCCAGAAGGCAAACCCACAAAGACATGGAGTAGACTCGTGGTTACTTGGGCTAGTGGGATGGGGAATGGGGAATGGGGAGTGATTGCTAACAGGTGTTTTTTGGAAGGTGTGGGGAATACAGGGTCTCATGTTTCCCAGATGTGTAGCTGAGGATGACCTTGGACATCTGATGCTGGGATTACAAACCAGGCCTGGTTTGTGTGGTGCTAGGGACCCAGAGCTTCATGTATGCTAGGGGAGCACTTTATCAACTGAGCTATATCCCTAGCTCTTGGCTGACGGGTCTTTTGGGATATGAAAACATTCTGGAATTAAATAGTGGTAATGATTCATAACTCTCTGAGTATAATAAACCTATTGAGTTGTATACATTAAATGAGTTTCTGTTACATACCAATTATATTTCAATAATAAAAATTATACATAGTTATCCTTTATTATTTTATTTTTTGAGACATGTAGCCCAAGCTGGCCTGGAACTCACTATGTAGACCAGGCTGGCCTTGAACTCACAGAGATCTGCTTGCCTCTGCCTTCTGAGTCCTGGGATTAAAGGCCTGTGCCACCATACCCAGCTCATAGTTATCCTTTAAAAAAAGTCACAGTCAGGTGTGGTTTTGATGGCACATGCCTTTAATCCCAACACTCTAGAGGCAGAAGCAGAGGCAGGCAGATCTCTGAGATCAAGACCAGCCTGTGGTCTACACAGTTAAGTACCAGGCCAGCTGGGGCTACAGGTCATAGTACAACAGTGTTTAAAGTAAAAATCAAAGCCCTGTGTTCTTCCCTCCCTCAGTACTTCCTTCCTCTGCATGTGTTCACTCCTGGCCTGGGGGTTGGGGGCTGAGTACTAGCAGGGAACAAAACAAGGAAGGGTCCTTGCTTTGGGAGCCACCGGGTGGGAGGGGAGCAGACATTAATTCAATAATCACAGGCATGTTAAAACACACTTTGTAAGTGTTGTGGGGGAGGGAGAGGATCAGAGGAAAACAATAGGTTTCTGATTGAGTTTGGGGTTGAGGAAGAGTATTTCTGAGGATGCTTGATGTGTGTAGAAGTTGATCAGGGAGGGTGCCCCAGGGGAGAGCTTTCAGGCTGGTTTACAGGCCTTGAGGCAGGAGGATCAAAGAAGCCAAAGGAGGTTGGCTGGAGCTCGGAACCAGGGAGAATGGAGAGAAGGGGAAGAGGTGAGGATGAATGGTGGGCAGGGGCTAGGCCACACAAAGCCAGTCTCAGGGTCCCTCCCAAGAATAATTCTCTTCCTAGAGAGCAGTAGAGAGCTGCTGCACCATTCCAAGCTGGAGAGTGACAAGCTAAGTATCTTTTTGTCTTGAAGATTTCACTGATGGGGCTGGAGAGATGGCTCAGGGGTTAAGAGCACTGACTGCTCTTGCAGAGGACCCAGGTTTAGTTCCCAGCACCCACATGGCAGCTAACAACCGTCTGTAACTCCAGTTCCAGGGGATCTGGCACCCTCTTCTGACCTCTGTGGGCACTGTATGACATGGGTGCATTTACACGCTTGTAGACAATACACACATAAAATAAAAATAGTAAATTAAAAAAAAGATTTCATTTGTGGGTTCTAGATAGAGAGGAGTTTGGAAAGGGGGATAGTTCTCAGCAACTGGGTCAAGAGGTGATGTTGACTTTGACTAATGGCTGAAGGGGAAGGAAGTAAGCAAGTCAGACATTTAGGAATAAAGTAGATGGGCCTTTACCTGACAGAGCACATGGATAATCCCTGGGTTTACCACCAGCCAGTAAGGGGGTGGTATATAATTTGCAGAACTTGAAGCTTAGCACTGTGCTTCTAACTCAGGCCTTCCAAGCAGCTGGGATTAGAAGTGTGGGCCACCAGACCTGGCTGGAAGTAGTCTTTATAAACAGTTTTTTTTTTTTTTTTGGTATGTTCTTGAGAAACTTTGTATATACAAGGCAGCATATATAGCCTTCCAGAAAATGCCATAAAAAATGCCACTAAATGGGTTCATGGTTTCCTGGAGTTGTCTTTTCTTTTTGCAATTTATTTTTGTTTTTACTAAAATACCCATTCACTGATTCTCGGTACTATATTTGAACAATAAAATACCTTTTTTTTATAAAAAAAATTTAATTAAAAAAACTTTATGTGTATTGCCTACATGTAAGTAAGTGCACCCATGTTGTGCAGTGTCCTTGGAGGTCAGAAGAGTCTTTCAGATCCCCTGGGACTGGAGTTATGGACAGTTGTTAGCTGCCATGTGGGTGCTGGGATTTGAACCCGGGTCTTCTGCAAGAACAGCCAGTCTTCTTAACTGCCAAGCCATCTCTCCAGCCCCTAAAATTCCTTTTTTTTAAAAAAAAAAAATCTTAATCTTTGTGACTATCAATATCTTATTGGTGGAAATTTAAGTGTTCTCACTTTGGAGCTTTGGTTTTTTGAGACAGGTTCTCCCTGTAAGCTGGTCTGGAATTCGCCATGTAGACCAGGCTGACCTTGATCTCATAGAGCTCTGCCTGCCTCTGCCTCTGTCTCCCAAGTGCTGGGATTAAAGAGGTGTAAGGAAAATACATAGCAAACAGCTTGAAGGTGGTAGGGTAGAGGATACCGAAAAATCAGTAAACAACTGTCCAGACAAGGATGGCTTCTTGTTATGGAGAAGAGTGGTGTGTGGTCCTGGACCTCAGCCGTCTTTTTCCCTGGTTCAGAGACTCTTGAGCCTTGGGAGCTCCTTTTTCCTAGATCTCTTTCTAGAGTTTGAGAAGGTTGCGTGGTTCTCAGGCCCCTGAGATACAGAAGATAGTTTGGAGAAAGGATGAATATTAGAGCTGTTTGTTCAGTGCCTTCTCTCAGTCTCTTCAACCCAGCCCTCAGTAGATGCTGATGCCATGGAGTTGGTGACTCAGGCATTAGTACCCTGGAGTGAGGCAGTGCTCATGAGAAGTGAACAGCGTCACACTTGTTGTAGCTGCTGGCGGTGGGTACTGTAGGAGAGATGCCGAGGAACTTGCATGAAGATGTAATCTGGAGCCTGTAATCCATTGGCGCCCAGAATGTCAAAACCAATCTGATCCATCTGTGAGTTCCAAGTTCAGTGTGAGACTGTCTCAAAAAATAATGTGAGGTCAGGTAGTGTGTTGGCGTACACCTTTAATTCTGGCACTTGGGAGGCAGAGGCAGATGAATCTGAGTTGGGGCCAGCCTGGTCTACATAGTAAGTTCCAGGTCAGCCAGGGCTACACAGTAAGACCCTGTCTCAAAATAATTATAATGTGGAGAATGACTGAGGAAGACACCCAGTGTCAACCTCTGGCCTCTACTGTGTGTGTGTGCACATACATGAACATATATATATTCCTCAGTGTACCACATACATACATATACAAAAAACTTAAGGAACATAAAAAAGAAAAGGTCACATACACCTGGAGTTCCACAAGAGAGCCATGTAGTCAAGGGACCAATGAGGCATGAGAGAGTAAAGCTACCTCTAATCCCCACCTTCTTGGGGGTTTGTCTGCCTGCCTGTCACCCTCTTGCCATGTCAGCAGCCAGCAGCTCCTCTCTTGGGAATGCCTCCCCACTGCCCTTTCTGCCTCTTGTCATTTTTGAAGTTCTACACAGCTGCTTCTTAGCAGCCTCAGGTGCATGTCCAGCTAAGGGCCCAAGTCTCCATCAATTTTATAGACAAAAAAATGGTTATCAGCGTTTTTGACCTGGCTCCCTTTTGTGTGTTAATAAAGCCAAGGCTGAAATGACCGTATTTCCCTTTCAGAAGCCCCTGAATGTGACTGTAATCCGTAGAGGGGAGAAATACCAGCTCATACTTGTTCCAACACGCTGGGCAGGAAAAGGACTGCTGGGGTAATGTATCTGCTTCATTCTTTTCTGCTGCAGCAGCAGTGGAGTATCTGTTAGACATAGGCTGGCAGGTCCGGTGAAAGATGGCAATCCCCAGAGTATGTAGAAATACCTGGAGTAAGAATAAGGCTGCAGGCTAGAGGCAGAGGAAGCCTCTGGTCCTCCAGGCGTTTTTGATTCTTCTATTACCTGAGCATTGGCTTTAAGAGAAAGAATGTTAATGAAAGCCCCCAAAGGGCTGGCTTACCTGCCTGCCTCCCTGAGTGGAACCGCCAAACTTAAGCCATGTCTGTTTTCTCTTTGCAGCTGTAACATCATTCCTCTGCAGAGATGACTGTCTCTGGGGAACTGCAGGAAAGCTTCAGCCTTGCCCTGGGCTCGGAACTGGTGGGGGGTTCCTCACTCTATTCGCTCCCTGAATAAGGATCTGAAGAGGGTGGAAGTCTGAACATCAAGGTGGTGGAAACACCGTGGCCTCCCGCTGTAGTTGCTCTGCATTTAAGGCATTATTAAAAACATGATTTGTGCTTAGTGTCTTTTGCGAATTAGGCAATGGCCCTATCTGGGAATTTTCTAGTTTGTGAGCATTGAGTAGGAATTATTCTGGCTGATACTGATTCAACTTCTAGGAATTTAAAAAATATATAATACTTAGTTGAGAATTTTCATACATGCATACAATGTATTTCTATCATATTTGTCCTTTCTCCAGCTCCTCCTGGGTTTTCTCCCCTTTATATCTCCCTCCCAACTTCCTGTCTTTTTTTCTATATAATGCACTGAGTCCAGTTAGTACCACCCATATATGCATGTGTATGTGGCCATCCGCCCAAGCATGGTCGACCTACCAGAGACCATATCCCTAAAGAAAACTGCTTCTCAGCTAGAGGTAGGGGCTTATGTGTGTGTCCCTCCTTTTTTGTTGTTGGTTTTTTGTTTGAGACAAGGTCTCACTGTGAGTTAAGACTGGCCTGGAGTTCACTATGTAGTCCCTATTGGCCTTAAACTTGGGATTGTCCTGCTCCACCTCCTAAGTGCTGGGACTATAGGTGTGCACTGCCAAACCCAGCTCTTCGCACAAGTTTTCTCTTTTCAAATAAACCGACCTTTGTAGTCCCGATATTACCATTGTATCCTCCCAACTGGATTCTTCATGAACCTCAAACCAAAGCTTAAAAGGAGTTGAAACATCCTTAAAGAGTTGGCCAACCAAACCAGTTACTGGTGAGGTAAAGTTTTTCTGTTGTGCTGAAAATTGAAGACTGGACTTCATGCTCTAGGCAAGAATACCACCACAGGGCTATACCCTCTAACCCCTGAAGTCAACATTTGACCAGCATCTCTATTCTGGAGCATTCCTGCCTTGGATACACAATGTGCTAATGTTCACTGCATTCTCATTAGGTGGGTCTATATGGATCACCATAGTTCCCTTTAGAGCAAAGGTCAAGAGGCCCCACAGGTAGCTCAGTGTGGTGTTGCTTTCTTCTAGTAACTCACTGGAGAGAAGCAAGCTCCCTTCTGTATTAAAAAACCCCTGGATATATCTTCTAATTTGATTTTTTTTATAGCTGAGCTTCCTGGTCATGTCCTGAGATCAGCAGTTTCTTAAACTAAGTGTGCCTAACCTTGCTGATGCCAACTATGTTTATAGATATGATCTGAAATGCTGCTTCCTCCTTGTACTTACTGTTGAAGATGGTAAAATGGGTTTGAGTGACTCCTAGTGACTCTGTTTTTCTTCCTTTTTCCTTGGTGCCCTAGTTATTTCCCCAGCTCTCCCAGACTACTTTCTGTATTGGAGATCTGGCACATTGTGCAGAGGAGGCCCATGTTCCATGTGATTGCATTGCTCAGGACAGAGGCTGACACCAGCCTTCTCTGATGGCAGTCAGCATTGACCTGTGCTTCCAGTATGACTTCTTACATTCTACTTGAAAGCCTTCCCCCAAACTGTGTTCCAGACACAGAGCCTCATGCATTCCTCTCTTGCTGTGTTTACCAATATTTGCTGTTTAAACTGTGTGTTCTAATTCCAAGTATTTTTCAGTCTTTTTTTTTTTAGTTCCAGACTATAATAAACAGAGCTTGTGTCATTCAGTTTATCCTTTTTTTTTTTTTTTTCTTTTAACATGTGTGCATATGGATCAGCCTACCAGCATGGGGACACAGTGGTATAGCTGTCTCCTAAAGTGATAGCCTCAGAGTATTTGGACTCAGGCCTTTGGCTGGTTTCCTGCAGGCCTCCTCTTGGAGAGTTCAGGATAGCCACCTCTTGGGCTCTTTTGTGAGTCATGTTGACATGAATGACCCTAATGGATTTAACCAAGCTGGGTTTTCAGAAATGCTTTATGATAGAACAGCAAGATCATGCACTTTGTATAATCTTGAATCGCTGTTAGCTAAAACTCTATGCCTCAGCGAGAAGACTGGTAGATGTCTTACATCTGTGAGACTATGGATTGGGTTTACTGCAGACAGAATTTTATTATGTGCTTCATTATTATATTATTGTTGCATGACTTTTCCTGAGGAGATATGAACAAACATCTGTTCTCGACCAAAGTCCCAATTCCACCCACTTGGTGAACTGTGAGCTTACTGGGTTTGAAGCATTGGCTGCAGCCCAGAAAGTCCACACTCTACTGCACCTTGATTACTCAATCCTGTGACATTAGAGTCCCCTGTACAACTTGCAGGCAGCTCCACTGGAGTCTCACCTCCCTCTGCAGAGGCTCAGGTACCCAGGCTGGCTTTGAACTTCTGATTCTCCTGAGTTCTGGGATTACAGGTGTGTGACACTTGGGCTATCTGGCAATTGTTTCAGGCTTTTATGACCTAAGGAAGTGCCCCTTGAGACTTTTTCTGAGTTTTTATTAAGTTTCTTGTGACTTTCCAGAGCTTTCCTTTCTTTCCTCCACCAATTAATGCTCCTCTCTGGAGGAAATAGTTACACAACACTACTTCATTTAATCTTGTCGAACTTTGAGAAAGTCAGAATTGCCAGGTGTTGGAGGCAGCCTCCCTGGGAAATGGGAAAGGAGTGCAGTCAGGAACCCTGTGGTGTGCGGCTCTTCAGCCACCGGCAGGGGGCGGGCTGGCCCCGCTGGAATCGGCTCTCCGCACGTGACCGCCATCCTGCTCCGGAGCTTTGGGGCTTGACACGCAGTGGTTGCTATGGGGACAGAGCTTGGTTGGCAACCATCACTAGGGAGCGCGGAGAGGAGCTGGTGGCCGCTGCTTTGGGATCCCGGAGGCAGGACAACCCAAGTCTTTTGAAGAGTGAGGTGGGCGCGCCTGTGAGTCCTGGGAGGAGGGTATGGCCCTGCGGGGCTGGGTGCGGGTGGAGGGCTTCGCCGCGGCCCGCAGGTCGCTGAGCCCTGGGGCTGCCCAGGAAGGGGAGGTGGCCTGGACTTGGTGCCTAGGCGGACTGCACACCTGCCCCCCCCCCCCCCCCCCCCCCCGCGTGGCTGCCGGGGCATGCAACCTAGTCCAGTACGCGCTGGCGAAGTTGAGACGGGAATCATAGCGGCACTTTTTCAAACGGAAAAAATTAAATTCTAGCTCTAGCATAGTGAATAAATCACTTCTCTCAGCATCTCAGACCTTTTTTTTTAGTTATACAGATTAAGCTGGCCTAGAACTCCCAGTAATCCTCCTGTATCCACCTCCTGAATGCTGGGACTACAGGAGTGGGTTCAGCACTTCTGCCCTCAAACTCTTGTAGTAGGACTTAGAATATATCAGAGGACTTAGACTCATTTATTTATTTGGGGGTGCATACCGTAGCGCACGCGTCAGAGGACAAACCTTTGGGGGATCGGTTCTCGGTTCATCCTGTGGGTCTTCGGGATCAAACTCAGGAGGTCAGATTTGGCAGTAGCCGCCCTTACCTGCGCCTGTAGTTAGTTTGTTGTGATAAAACACTGACCAAAACCTTCTGGAGTGAGAGGATTTATTTGGCTTACATAATCCATTATCCAGGGAAGCCGAGGCAGGAACTGAAGCAGAGACCATGGAGGAATGTTGTTTACTGGCCTGCCTTTTTTTTTTTTTTTTTTTGGTCTTCTTGAGACAGGGTCTCCCTGTAGCCCCAGCTGCCCTGGAACTCACTATGTAGACCAGGCTGGCATTGAACTCACAGAGATCCGCCTGCCTCTGCCTCCTGAGTGCTGGGATTAAAGGCATACCTTTTTATACAACCTGGGTCCCCTTGCCAGGGATGGCACCATCCACAGCAATCAAGAAAATGCCCCACAGACATGCTCACAGGCCCTTCTGGTGGAGAATGAAATTCCTCAATTGAGGTTCTCTGTTCCTGGGTGACTCTAGTTTGTGTCAAACTGACGAAAATTAACCAGCAACCTGCTGAGCTGTCTCACCTACCTGAAGGACTTTTAAACTGTCAACTTCTTTGCAAAATCAGGGTTGGTTCATCCCCTTCAAGCACTGTGGCCTGGAACTGTGTTGAGCATTTGACATATTTTGCCCAGTCTTCACAATCACCCCAGAATTTAGGATTATTGTTTTTATCTGTGAGCAAATTTGACCTCTGAGGGGAAAGTGACTTGCCTCAGGTCACAGAACCACATTTGAGTCCAGGCTTGTACTGTAAAGCCTGCATTTTAGTCACTGGCTACCCTGATTCTTTTGTACCTATGTAGAATTTTTGCTAATGCCTGCCTTATGTATTTGCTGCCTATTGCTATATAAATTACTTAATGTGAGTTAGAAGGCTCTAAGATTATTCCTAGAAAGACAAGAGGCCCTGGGAAGCAATATTTTTAAGATCTGGGCCAGGCTTTTCCAAGAATATTCATTCTTTTTAGTTCCATGGAAAGGAATCAGAGCTCACCAGTATATTTCAAGAGGAAATTAAGGTGGGAAACAGAGGGCCCTGCTGACTCTTAATTGTCAAAATTTCTCTAGCGGAACCCCTACGGAGAAGAATGTCAGACGAAGAAGAATCCCCCCTAAAAGAAACAGAGGAGAGTGGAAAAACAGAAACAGAGGAGGAATATAATCCAAATTATAAAGGAGAAAGTCTTCAGCAGAGAATTGAGGACACATCAACATGGGAGGGGTCTCAGGAGGAAGAGGAGGGAGAGAAAGGGGTCGAGATGGAAGAGGAAGAACAGAGAGAACATGAAGAAGAGGAAGAGGGAGGTGAGGAAGAGGAAGAAGAGGGCAGGGGGGAGGAAGAGAAGGATAGTGAGGGGGAAGGAAAGGAGGAAGAGGAGGAGGAGGAGGAGGATATGGCTATTGAAAAAACTGAGAAAAATGTTGGAGAAGCCCCAGGGGAGACGTCAGGAGTCCGGAAGGGAACCACAAAGAAGCTTAAAAAAACTCCGAAGTCCACTTTCACTCTAGATGCCATTATTATCAGCTCTGAGTCAACATCAGGATCTTCACTGGTGAGTCATGGATTGTAACTCATCCTCTCATTCATTTAGAATCATTGGTTCCTTGTTCAGTATATGTCAGGCTATCGGTACAAAACCAAAGACACAATCCTGCGACTAGAGAGATGGCTCAGTTGTTAAGAAAGCTTGCTGCTCTTGCAGAGAAACCCAGTTGGGTTCCTAGAACCCACTTTGGACCGCTCATAACTGCCTGTAACTCTAGCTCCAGGGTATCCAATGCCCTTTCTGGACCCTTTGAGCACCTGCACACACATATGCGTGCGCACGTGTATGCACACACATACGCAAATCTTAAAAAAATAACAAGACCTATCAAGAGGCATGATTCTTTTTCTTTTTTTTTCTTTTCTTTTTTTTTTTTTTTTTTTTTTTTTTTTTTTGGTGTTTTTGAGACAGGGTTTCCCTGTGGCTCCAGCTGGCCTAGAACTCACTATGTAGATCAGGATGGCCTCAAACTAACAGAGATCTGCCTGTCTCTGCCTCCCAAGTGCTGGGACTAAAGGCTTGCACTACCACACTTGGCAATTCCTTTCTTTAGTGCAAAATGTTCCAGGGTCTCTATTAGTCTTCCAGGAAGGCCAACACAGACTGGCTGATTGGGCATGGAAAAGGACAGTAAGTCAAAAAATATAGCTGCAGGTACTGCATGTGGGATCACAATCTCTTGCATTTATTTATTTATTTATTTATTTATTTATTTATTTATTTATTGTCTTTTTGAGACAGGGTCTCTCTGTAATCCCAGCTGACCTGGAACTCGCTATATACCAAGCTGGCCTTGATTTTATAGACATCTGCCTGCCTCTACTTCTGGTGCTGAGATTAAAGGTGTATGCCACCATGCCAAGGCTCTTTTGTTTTTTGTTTCTTTTTAAGGATATCACTGGAAGTAGCAAGTCCTCCTTGCGCTCCCAAAGTCCTGAAACAAGTGAACTGTTAAGAGGTATCAGTTCACAACATGAAATTATTGATTTGGATCAAATTGAATCTCAGGAGCCACAGACCAGGCCTCCTAAAAGGCAGTCCTCAGTGAGAGTTGAGAGGGAAGCTGACCAGATTTCAGGAGACAGTTTGAGCCAAGAAGAAAGAGACAAGGAACCAAAAGAAGAAGAGGCAGAAGCAGAAAAGGTTAAAGAGAGACAAAGAAAACTACCCTTCCTCCTGGATAAGGAGAAAAGACAAAAAGCAGTGACCTCCAAGGAGTCACTCATGTCCACCTCCACAGAGGATACCTTGTTTCAAAAGGAAGACAGCACCAAGGTGTATCCTTTGGTAAGTGTAATGGGGCTTCATTCTCCCAGGGCTTGGGCAGCATTGTGAGACAGGGCAGTTGGGTACATGCGGCGGGGGAGCAGCTGGGAGTCACAGTGGAAAGATACTTTTTTTTAGTGTGTATGTGTATGCATGTATGTGTGTGAGAGAGAGCATTCCTCGTGTGTAAAGGCCAGAGGACAACCTTGGGTGTTGTTCCTCAGTCACTCCCCCCCCTCCTCCTTTTTGTGAAAGGGTCTCATTGGGCTAGAATCACAGGTAGTTCCCCCTCCCCCTCCTCCTCCTCAAAAAGATAGAGTTTTCCAATTGGACTGGAATTTGCAAAGCAGGCTAGGCTGGCTGGTCAGTGAGCCCCAAGGATCATCCTGTCTCTGCCTTCCCAGCACTGGGATTTCCATTCCTGACTTTTTTTGCTATGGGTTCTGCCAATCAAACTTGGTCCTCATGTTTGCTAAGCAAGCACCTTACATGTCCCTAGCATCCCCCAATACTGTTTGAATTAATATATATATATATATTTTGGGGGGGGGCTTCCTTTTGAAACAAGGTCTCTCTGTAGCCCCAGCTGTCCTGGAGCTCACTATGTAGACCAGGCTGGCCTTGAACTCACAGAGATCCACCTGCCTCTGCCTCCAGAGTGCTGGGATTAAAGGCGTGTGCCACCACGCCATCGAACTAATATTTTTTAGACAAACTGTCTTTTAAAGTTCTGGCAAGAGCTCTGGGAGGACATGTATGACAGAACATGAACTTGAAGAACATCTGGGTTCAATAGCATTGCTCATCAGGCAGGAAATTCCAGACATAGTTTGAGTGTTTCATAGGATGTTATTTCATGTGGGAGACTCAAAGTCCTCCTCCCTCTCTTTTTCTTTCCTCCCCGCTCCTTCCACTCTTTCTCCTTCTTCCTTCCCTTTTTCTCCTCTCTCCTTTTCCTTCTCTCCCATCTCTCTTCCTCTCTTTTCTCCTCTCAGACATTATTAATATTCCTCTTTCATGTCTACAGCCTCTCCTTTTCTACCTTAAGTAGGTAAATACCTTTAATATTTTACTAATTTTATGTATACGAGTGTTTGGTCTGCACATATGTAAAGGTATCGCACGTGTGCAATACCGATGGAGGCCAGAAGAGAGTATCAGAAGCCCTGAAAGTGAAGTAATAGTGGTTGTAAGCCACCATGTGGTTTCTGGGAACTGAACCTGGGTCCTCTGCAAAGAGCAGCAAGGGCTCTCCAGCCCTAGATGAATACCTTTTTTTTTTTCGGTCTTTTTGATTCAGGGTCTCCCTGTAGCTCCCACCTGGCCTGGACCTTACTATGTAGACCAGGCTGGCCTTGAACTCACAAAAATTCACCTGCCTCTGCCTCCCAAGTGCTGGGACTAAAGGTGTGCATGACCACACCTGGCAGATGAATACCTTTAAGAGCTCCCCAAACTCTAGTCAGAAGCTGACAAGGTTTGGCAGAAGGAAAGGCCCTGTGCAAAGCTCTGGAAGCCCCCCAAAATGTGACTTTGCTGCTGCTGACAGTATTCCAAGGAGGCACCATCTGTGAGGCATAAAAATATTATCATTTACCTAGGGAAGGGAGGAAAGGTTCCTCCCTTCTGCCTTCATCTGCTACTTTTTGAAGATGTTTCCCAGGATTCATTTTTGTTTTCCTTTTGCATGCCTTTGGAAAGTTGATGGTCTGTGAAGTACTTAACAGTTCTGAGCAGAGTTAGCCCTTTTAAATTGGAGGATGACCACAGGGTGATGACTAGTGAGAAATGTAGACACCCCCAAACTCTGTAGTTTTGACTTGCTTAGAGCAGGGGAGTTACAGGTCCTATCCCCAAATCCAAAGTTGTTCAGTCTGAGGGAAAGTGTGATTGAGTTTTAGAGTCCACTAAGACTTCTGTCTTGTCTAGTCCCCAGGCAATATCTCACTGAGAAAGAGGAATCTGTCAGGGCACTTGGACTGGACCAGAGCCAACCCCTAGTGTTGGGTGTCCTGCCAGTCTTGGTCTCATTGTGGGACCAAAACTTCTAGACCTTTGCAAATTTCCTTAGCTTTCAGGAGAGTTTCTTTCCTTTTTCTTTGCTTCCCTTTTCTTTCTCTCTTTTTTTTTCTTTTGTTTAAACTAAGCAACATTCTTTTTTCTTTTTCTCTTTCTTTCTTTTTTGTTTGTTTTTTAAGACAGGGTCTCCCTGTAGCCACACAGGCCTGGAACTCACTCTGTAGACTAGGCTGGCCTCGATTTCACAGAGATCTACCTGTCTCTGCCTCCAGAGTGCTGGGATTAAAGGTATGGCACTACCATGCCCAGCATAACATTTAAAAAAAAATCAGCTGGGCGTGGCGGCACACGCCTTTAATCCCAGCACTTGGGAGGTAGAGGCAGGAAGATCTCTATGAGTTCAAGGCCAGCCTGGTCTACATAGTGAGTTCCAGGACAGCTGGGGCTACAGGGAGACCCTGTCTCAAAAAGACCAAAAAAAAAAAAAAAATCAAACACGAGACATATGTGAAGGCGGAGATTCCTCTTTCCACACGCATTCACGTGCCAATCCCACTTTCCCAAGGTGACTGACTGTTGTTGCAGTTTGGGAGGACTGCAGCATTCCTGATCTTCTCCACACAAGTACAAGTGTGCTGTCTGCTCATGGGTGCATAAGTGTATGTACACACAACTCACACTAAATGGTTTTTCTCTTCTCTTTTGAGACAAGATTTTGATAGGTAGCCCAGGCTGGTATCCAACTTGTAACTCTCCTGCCTCTGCCTTCTGAGTACTAGGAATATAGGCACATACCAGACTTTCTTTGTGTGTGTGAGGGAGAGGTGGTACGTGTGTGTGTGTGTGTGTGCAGGTGCATGTGGAAGCCCAGAGCTAATGTCTGGTGATTTATCACTCTTCACCTTATTTATATTTATTTTTAAATTTTATCCTACATTTATTGGTGTGTGTGTGTGTGTGTGTGTGTGTGTGTGTGTGTGTGTGTGTAACAGGCATATGCATGCCATAGTTTGTGTGTGGAGGTCAGAGGACAAGTTATTGGAATCAGCTTCCTCCTTGGGTTCCAGGGATTGAACTCAAGTTGTCAGACTTAGTGGTAAGCACTTTTACCCTCTGAGTTGTCTCCCTGGTCTTCTACTTTATTTATTACAATTTTTCATTTATCTTTATTTATTATTGTTTTGGTTTTTAAATTTATTATTTATTTTCTTGTATGTGTATGAATGTATTGCCTGCATGTATGTAACTGTACCCGTGTTGTGCAGTGCCCAAGGAGGTCAGAAGAGGGTGTCAGATTCCCCTGGAACTGGAGTTATGGATAGTTATTAGCTTCCATGTGAGTGCTGTAACTGAACCCAGGTCCTCTGTAAGAGCAGCCAGTGCTCTTAACCACTGAGCCATCTCTCCAGCTTTCCTTTTTGTAAACCATTGAGATTCTCTTTATTTCTGCAATATGTGAAAACTCAATAGGTCTTGGAAGATTTCCTATACCAACACACATGGCTCCACTTCTCTCTCTCTCTCT